TATCTCAGACTTTAATGTTAGGTCACTTATATTCAAATCCTACATGCATTAGTCCCCCAAAGACTACAGTTACGCCTTGTTGAAAAGTGTCTATTAAAATGAAAATCAAATCAAGCAGGGCTTCCTACGGACTACCTTCGACCACCTAAAATATTATTTAATGACGACTGTATAAAATTGTAAGGAAAATCATAAAGAAATAAATTCATTTCCTAAATAAAATAATTCACGAACTATCCACCTTTTGTTCCATCCATTACGTCGATTCGGATGACAACTAAGTATGTATGTATGTATGTATATTCATGCTATTCATCATAGATTATTATTAATAATTTCAGCTGTATGAGCAGATTGTAGATGCAGAGTTATAAGCCCTAATAAAGACAGGTGGATACATAAAAATGAAAGTTTACATCTAAAACATTTTTAATTGATATAAAATGTTTATATTTAAAGAAACGAATAGTCAACAAAAAATCAGAAGTAATGGTAATGATGATAGTAATTATAATTGAAGAAATTACTGTCCTCAGCATTATTTGAAGTTACAGCTTTCAAATTATCAGATCTAGTGACTGCTAACCGAACTCTGACGAAGTTTTAGTCACATCCAGTTATCGAGTATATGCTTACCTAGATTTCAAGTGAATAAATTAATCTACCAACAAAGACCATCTATCCTTAAACTTAATACTACTAAATGTAATTCCATATCAGTAGACTATTTGTCAAATGATATTTATGGTAGTCAATCAATAAAGTTGGTCAAGTAAGCAAAGTAATGTTAAAACACCAACATTGTGTCACTTAATTCTAGGTGAAAATCAAGAAGCACTCAAACTTTCTTGTTTACTAATCCTTATCAGAAAAGCAAAATCTTATGCTGTAAAAAATGGCATTTGTATTATCTTCTCTCGCAAAAACAACTACAAAGTGTTAAAGCTGTCGCAAGCAACAATGAAACAGTTCAACCTTACAAGTAGTCACACACACACAACTGCACAAATATGCAATTATTGTTTATCAAACAATTTACGTCAATTAACGTTTTTTCAGTAGACTTGATAACTAATGATGAAAATTAAGTTCATACGTAGAAAGTTATGATATGAAAGGCAGGATCAATATTCATTGGAAGATGATTGATATATGTAAAGACATTTCTCTGTAACTTCTACAAAACATTTGATACTTTATTATCAAAATTCTGTGAAATCTGTCATTTCATTACATCATTCGTGTTATTATTAGGAATATAATAGGGCAACATATGCCAAATATATTATAATAGATTTAATTTGAAATAAAAAAGTTTAAGACTGAATAATGGCAGTTCGGTGAAGAGAATTCTGTTCTTGACAGTATTATTTACTAAAACCGTTTAACTACACAGATATCGAAAGATGATTGCAAACCAGTCAATATCTCCATTGTTGAACATTGTATCACCTATATCTACCAGAAACGTCATTTAAAATTACCCACAAAGTCAAACAAACTGACTTCGAAGAAAACTGGGTAAAAACATTTGTGCATAGATTAAGTTACATCTTTGTCTTCAGAAACGAAATATCTAATTCCTTATTTTACTATCATTCCAATTTATAAGTCGTTCTGATTAGTGTTCATTTATTTATCTTCTTTGTATTATCAATGAAGTCATGAACCGACCAATGTTAAACTACCATTGAAAACCTGAAAGCATTGAAGGGCCGTTTCGTCCTAGTATGGGATCCCTCAGAAGTGTGCATACACGATCCCGTACACTGCATCCAAACCCAAACGCTAAATCTTCAGACCACTGAGCCGATATTCAATAGTCTTAATATCTGAATTTAACCAATCCACGATATTATGCGGCCATCTTCCATTGTCTTTGATGGCTAATTGCCTCATACTTGACACAGTTGACTCAAACTGGTCACGGCTTCCAGATTTTCAATTTTGTTCTAACATTGATCGGTCCATGATTTCAATGAAATGCAAAAATCTTCACAGCCCCATACTGAGAATCAATATGTAATGTTTTGGTTTCTCCCACTGTTGATGTTACTGACTGAATTTTAACCACTAATAATTGGTATATGTGACGCTTGTATGGGTTGCCTCGATATAAACGTTATTTCAAGAAAATAGATGGAATGTGGAAAGTGGTGGAATCTAAGACATACATTTCGTCCTGTTCGGAACTTGTTGGCTGGACCTGTCTGGGTCCTAGTGTTAATACTCACACTGTAACTTAAATAGAGTACCTTTTTCTTCAAACGCTTAGCGAACCATCCATTGAGCTGATGTCACCAAATAGCTACTAGCTTGTTCAACGGATATCAATTTGAATTCATTTTATGTTGGATTTTATTACTTAGTTGCACAAGTATAGTGGCTATATGCAGTAAGTAGCTCAGAAGACAACACGTTAAGTGTTTGAAGTAAAAGGTAATCTGTTTGAGTTCCAGTGTGAACATCAAAACTAGGACCCAAATAGACCCATCTGATGAGTCCCAAACGGGGCAAAATAAATGTATTGGATCCCACTACTTACCGTATTGTATCTATTTTATAAGAATATTGGCGAGAAGTTATTTTGTATAGTGTTGAAATGGAAAAATAAAGGGATACAACAAAGCATAACTCGTAATCACAAATGATGGAAGTAGGTTATCATCTGGATACAAAGATATTTACATGTTTTTACTGTATTTTAATGTCTGTTAGCTAAAGTTTTATTTCTGTATTTCTTGAAACAATTTTAAGTAGAAGTTTTATATCTATATGTTCAAAATATAGTTTAATAACATTTAAAATTATACTATAGTTTAGAATGTATGTTAAAACATACTGTTACATAGTATCAAAAGGGGTTTATTGTGGAGATTTTGGTAATTTTATAGTTGAAACCATGAGTCAATTGAAGCTAGACCACCAGGGAAAACCTGGAAACACTGAACGGCCGTTTCGTCCTATTATGGGACTCCTTCGGCTCGAGACTGGTAGGTCCTGGGTTCGAATCTCGCTCACGAGAGCGGGTTCATAGTGCCAGTATAAACCAATCTTTTTCAATTATTTATAGGGTCAGTAACTTTTTGCCTAAGCTTGTCAGACTTAAAGTCCTTCAAACGGCGGAGGCAGTAGCCATCAGAATGAAGAAACCGGAGCTATGTGTACAGAAGAAATATCTCCAATCCCTACTCCTCCCTTGGCCAACCACAAGGCCAATTAATGTACAATCATCTTAGTTATTGTATGACATAATTTGACTATGTACTTACGACCTTTCGTAGTCAAATGTAATTGTCTCTCTTATCTTTATTCACAAATCTTTGTATTTTATTATTATTATTATTATTATTATTATTATTATTATCATTATTATTACTATTATTATCATCATTATTATCATTAGTATTATTATTATTATTGGTTAAATATCATTATTAATCCCCCCTAAACATGATTCATTCACATCGCATTGATCCATCCTTATTACGTCTTACCGATTTTTCACACAATTTAATCTTCCATTTGATGGAATTGTAATTGTACTATCATATCTCTCTCACCCTATCTGACCCATATTTATATTCTGATCACAGATCGTAAATTTTCACTTTACATATATACAGATTCAAGTTAACATTCTATATGAGTAATATAAATATTCAACAATGATAAATACTAAATCTCCACAAAACCCCTTCTATAATAAATATTAACAATTTTATTCTATTTGGTTTGACAATCCTAAATTTACATGCTTTAAACGATGTACTTTGCCTTTAACCTGGCCATTTTTTTTCGGATTATTAATTTGGATTTATAATTGTAGAACCTGAAGAGAATTTATCGAAAAGAATATTCTTCGTTCAAATATTAGACTTTCATGTATATTAAATATACTCGAGCCAAAGCCCTTAACCGATAGACCACTGAGCTGGCATCCAACGGTGTTAATGTCTAACTTCAACTGATCCACGAAGTTGAGCAACCATTCACCAATTGTCATCAGTGAGTTCCTATCTCACGACAGACGTGGTTTGCACTCCACTGGTCACTGCTTCTCACTAGAGCTCCTGGATTTACTTCCCGAAGTCACTAGTGAGCATATGATTATATTAATTATTAGAAGGGGTTTTTGTGGAGATTTGGTATGTTTCATAGATGAAAGCATGAGTCAATTGAAGCTAGACCACCGAGGAAAACCTGGAAACACTGGACGGCCGTTTCGTCCTATTATGGGACTCCTTCGGCTCGAGACTGGTAGGTCCTGGGTTCGAATCTCGCTCGCGAGAGCGGGTTCGTGGATGCGCACTGCTGAGGAGTCCCATAATAGGACGAAACGGTCGTCCAGTGTTTCCAGGTTTTCCTCGGTGGTCTAGCTTCAATGGACTCATGCTTTCATCTATGAAATAGTATTACTATTAAATGGATAGATAACTAAGACAATAAGAAAATATCTAACAAACAAAGTTAAATATATCAATGAAAATAAACTAACCTATTCCTCTGTGTGTATCTTTTATAAACTGATTATTTCAATGACTTCATTTTTCATTCTGTATCCCGTGTTTACCATCCATGAGTTGTGTATTAGTTGATAAATCTTGATTAGATTCACTGTTAGAAATCAACGTAATAGGAATAGTACATGGTGATTCATTTTCAAATTGAAAGATCCTCATATGTGATGGATCCCTTGTTATTATTTGATGATCATTAATTACAGTATTATTATTAAGTTTACTAGATAATTCATTATCAGGTTGATTTGAATGACATAATTCATTGACAGATGATAAATTATCATGTGATTTCAAAAATTGTTCAGATGAATTACAGTTAGAATTAGTTACAGAATTACTAGGGTTATTTGATTTATTCTCGTTGTCAACGACATTTAATGTACATTGATCTACCGGTTGATGATCATAAATACCAAACTTTCTACCTGATGTTAAAATAGATTTTGTCGGTAATTTTTTTGTCGGAGATGGTGAATAATCTTCTATGATCCCCTGAGCCGGCTATAAAGTAACAGTAGGAATTGATTGATTAATTATAGTGAAGTACAAGCCTATGAACGGATTGAGCATTATCATTGACGTATATGATAAAAAACAATAACGTCAACAAGACTGACATATCTACCATTTTTATTCAATGAAATTGTACATGCGTTCTGAATTACTGAAGATCAACAATGATTATAACGTTACTTTGGAAATAGTCTAACTGTTCAACCACTCAATGATTAAAATCTATCAAAGCAAAGAATCCAGTAATACTAAGTAAAGACCATTCGATCGAATGTTCAGGATTTTTCAAATAAGTATGAGAAGTACTAAACCAATGTTCAATATTATTGCATTTTATCCATTTAAGAATTATGAGATGCACCAAACTATGAATCCTTTAATGACGATATAATGTGTAAATGTGAATTTCTCTGTTTAAACTAGTTGAAACCTTCGGAAAATTAACTATTTGTCAGACCTAAAGATGTGTAAGATTGATTTTCTGTTTAACTCTAATTTAAGCCATCAAGTGAATGCCATAACTTTGTAAAAGTGATTGAATAATATAGACAAGTACGTTAACTATGAAATAACCGGTGAACAATTATATTATCACAAATCACCCGTTTAAATAACCTCATTGATAGTAATATTAATAATAATAGTAATAATAATAATAATTCTAAGCCTAAGAAGCAATTGTCATTTGAAACAGGAATCAGATTTCAATAAAATGAAAAGAATTCATACAGTAGTAAAATAAGTAATGCTTTTCTTCAAAAGGATCAATTTCTGCTTGTACTAGTTGACCACTTGAAAAACATATCTATATTTCCATATTACAGATTCATTTCTACAGTCCTACTTGAAAATAGCAGTAATCAGTGTTTTGATGGTTTATATGATAGTGCAGACGTATTTCTATCAAAATTTTGTCCTTAATTAGTTATATTTGTGAAGAAAAACAAGTATATTTAGGTGATGAAGTATCACTGTTGCTACAACTGTCATTCATTAAGAAAACACAAGTACTACCTAGTATTACATTCTTTGCTATTTAACAAATCACAAGATGAATGAATAAGTAACTAATATGTCTATGACTTTAGTGAAAATCTTTACAAACTCTATATTTCATCCACCTAATGTTCAAGATAGCTTACTTAAGTTTAAACGATATGTACGATCTGACTCTTTATATCGATATGAGCCAGGTTCAGTGTGTCTGTACAAAAAAGAAAAACACTAGTTTCGTTTTTCGAATACTCTGGCTATATTAGATTATAAGAAACACATCTAAGGCTTTCAACTTTTACGACGAACACGATATTAGTCAGTGTTATTTTAGAACTTGTATGATAAATAGATGAACTATTTTACAAAACTTTGAATTGCGTTTTCAAAATATTTCCAACGAAGCTTTCATTGAGTATTATTGTAATAGATTCTGAAAGGAAAGTATTTTTCAACCCAAGATTTTAGTGGCTCTCGATAAAAATGATCCTATAATGTATTGTAATAAAATTACGTTGCACTATAACGAAGCAAAAGTATTACTTTTTAATTTTAGATATTTAATCAATGAATTGCAAGTTATTTAAAACGAGTTCAGGGTTATAATTCGCTTGATTAATAGATAAGTTATTTGGAAAACAAGCACTGAAAAGTACAACATTCCTTCAGAGCTGCTTTTTCCATTAGGCAAAAAAACAAACTCCTATTATGATCAATGACTTTTAATATAAATAACTAGTGGAATTTTACCTCAAATAAGTGTAATTATATTCAGCAAATAAACAAAATAATGAGTTATTTAATGTTCTGCTTTTTTGTTATTTTTATAACCATTAAAGCAGTATTACTTACATAACCACTGTAAACTAGTTTACTGACTAACAAATATTTAATACTTACCGTTTTATGAAAAGTTTCAACGAAAAAACAAACAGTAATTACGTGATTTTAGATAAAGTTACTTAGTAGACATCACTGGAATCCAGGCCACATATTTCTTCCTATTCGAGACTAGTCAGTTAGATTAATTACATATGATCATTGACCATGATATGCGTATAATTTTTATGGATCAGTCTTTTTATTTTCAAAATTTCATTAACGGGAAACATATATCGGACATATTTACTCCATCTTTATCACTAGTTCGTATATTGTGTAAGAATCCTTCAATTTAGTGTCATAAGAATCATACATTTTCACATCTATCAATATGTAGCTTGGTAAAAAGAAATATTGAACTTAAACTAACCTTATGGATAAACACCAAACGAAAGTGCTGTGAATATTTATGTAATCGATATGTCTGGATCATGTCTTTAGTAGAGGTGTATTCTATCTAAACAGGGCAGAACATATTACTACAATTGGGAATATGGTAACAAAGAAAGTTTTACCAGTATTCAATAGAGATTTCAGGTAAAGTCAAAGAAAAAACACCTGAATAACTATAGTGATGGTCGCTAAGTTAAATAAATGATCAGAAATCTAATAAATCAACTGAAAATCGAATTGCTGGATTCTAACCTATAAGTCTGAAAATACTATGCTCCCTATGAGATCAAAAACATTTAAGTGAGTGTACACTGGCGAAGTATCCACCTAACCCAAGTTTACGATAAAGAATTATATGTATATTCAACGGACTTTTTCAGAAGTCACTTAATTTACTGACCATAATTCAAACCAGATTTGATAATCTAATGGAATATTAAGAGATGAATATGGGTAGGTGAAGAAATATACTATCGTCGTAAGATAAAAATCCTCAGATTTAATTAAATTATAAGACTATAACAAAGTGGTTTACTTCCTTGTTTATACCTAGTCTCAGTGAACATAAAATGTCCTAATATATCTAATATCCGTCTCATGTTATTGTTGATTATTGAAGGTTTAATTACGAAGTACGAGACAAAAATGGTTATCCTTCTACAAGCTAAAATATCTTGTATTTTATTTTAAATAACATGGAAATATTCAGTCTTTAGAATGAAGCTTTTATACTATGAAGTAAATGAAAATTATGCACTAATATATATTGTGACTCACATCAAGCCTGCACTTTTCATAAGGTTCCCCAGATTCATTATCTGTTTGTTGATTTAGTATAAGAACACGTCTTTCCCTTGAATAAGGCTGAGACTTAGAAGCAGTTGGTTGGTTAGAATTCGATTTTACTGGTGGACTTTCATTTGATTTCTCTAATGAAGAATGCTCTTCTCTAGAATAAAATGATTGGTTAGATGTATTTGGAAGATTATTGTCATCTGCATCATCAGTAAATAAGGTAAATGTAGGTTTATTTTCATTTAGGTTATCAGAGGTTTCATTGATCGACAACTCGTAATTAGCGTCAACTTGATGATTACTATGTTTCGAATGAGAAGAACTTTTTCCTAACGATCTTATACGTTTCCAAAATCGATAAAATGGATTTCTCTGTTTTTCCTCTTGTGAAAACAAATCGTTGTCTTCCATAGAGGTTTTAACTTCTGTTAAATAGTTTTCGTGCTCAGCTTCCGTAATATCGTATATTCTTCTAGATCTTAAGTCGGATGCTTGAAAATGACTGAGTTTATGTGGTGAATTAAAAGATTTGTCCCGTGTAAAATCAGGTACACTTCTTCGGCTATCATTCGGAGAATATCCACCCGGTTTCCCTGGATATTTCGAGTGAATATTTGGTCGAGCCAACTTTGAATTAAATACACTATGAGAATTAGAATTTCCAAATGTTGTCAATGATGATGTTCTTGGTGGCCTTTTAGGTAGAGGTGTAATAAATATATCACGAACAGCTCTAAATTGACCGCAATTATTCAAATGCTCATTCTCCAAACGAAAGAAATTCCATATGAAACGTCTTGAATGAAATCAATAAAGATACGATTGTGATTTCAGAGATTTAAAAAGGTTTAAGAAAGGGCAATAGGATCTTGATAATAACCTCATAAGTTCAGTTGGTAACTGTTTATTATTTTTGAATCTGAGATACAGATAATTAAGTAGTTATTTAGAATCCATTAAAAGTTTTTCTCGTACACGTTACTTTGTTGAAAACATATAAATATGATAAGATAGAACTTTATATATTTTTATTGCCCTGGCTTCCAAATGTAATACCGAATATAGCACATTATTTGACTGGTGATTGACTCTTTTTTATGTATTGCAAGTAGAGGAATATAGTGAAAAATGAAGAACAGGATTCCGCATCTTCTTTGAAGTCTGTCCACCAGCCAACCGTGACTAAGTCATTGAAATGATAAGCATCGCAATGTCCACAATTAGCAACCACAGCTAGGGCCCTTAGTTGTTGTCGTCTTTTTCACCAACCTCTCCTTCGGCCTTTTCACAACAACCCAAACCTATAGTGACTTGACGTAATAGTTAGACACTTACTTCAAGAACAGATACTACTAGAAGAATTCCTGATCAATGAAAGTGAATGTTCCAAGACGGTAAGTAGAAACAACCCACGCTTAAGAGTTGTAGGTACTTACAAAAAACAACATAATATAAGGTCTTTCAATGAATATGTCTGGAAAGAAGACATTTGCCCTGTGACCTTGACGAAGATCATTGAAAGGCTGACTTACAGTGTATTTGGATGAGAACAGCCATATATTTCAACACAGAATTAACTCATTGACTTAAATTTAAGTAAGTGAAAGTGGGTTTGAACCTGAGACTTGGCGGCTATAAATCGGACACCTTAGTCACTAAACCACTGTTTCTTCTACAATAATGTGTACTGTGTCTTTACAGACTGATAATGATCCATTACATCACTTCCTGATATATTGACTTCATGGTAAACATTCAAAAACCTTTTATCTGACCGAAATGAAATAAAAACTCTTCGGAAAATCAATAAATGAATGATGTATAGTCAAATGAAAAATAAAAACTATCTGTTTTTAACTGAGTCAACAACAAATAATGAGGCAGGTAGATTTTGTTTATCACCTTTTGACAAGAAGCATTACCAAGAACGGTAAAATGTTATCTATATATATTGTTTACTTTTTTTGAAAAACGAAATACATTTCTACCTTTCAAGCAGTCAATGATTTGCCGAAATACCGCACCTCTTACGAAACAAATTTATAGACAGAATTATAACATTTAATATCATAAGATATGAATATATTTCATTTTCACTAAACCTTTACTGTTTAGCTTTTTTTCTGTAAACACAACTATGAACGGGAACATTGGATTTAAGATGAATGCATGTTATTTTTAAAAGAGTACATCTTACACATGTACCTAAAAGAATCGAGTATTAAGACAAAAGAATAGTGTAGTGAAGATGGTGATACTAACAGTAGTAACAAAAAAGAAGCATTTGAAAGAAATATCAAAATAAAATACACACAGTAACAAGATTTTCAAGATTCAATGGAGGACACAGGAAGAATAGTTTAAAGTCTGTGTTAAAAATAATAGTCTACGTCAACCAAAATATTTAAAGATTAATCTTGACTGTCACTAGAGGACAAGTATCTAGAAGATTATACCTCTATGTACATCTAAAGGAATAAGTGAATAACATAATGGATTGGTCCTGTGTCTTGTATATATAATTGTTATTCTTTGTTCAACGCATTCTCTTATTTCACTCAATATGTTGTCAAAATGTGTGTGGTAGCTTGATTTAATATCCAAGCTTCGTAGTTGATGTCGATTCGGTTTTTTATAAAATAACTCACTGGATTGTTCATTACTGTACGTTTTCTTTGTTTTGTTTTAATGTTTTAGAAGCTTCACACTTGGGTGAGTCATTATTCACTAAACACATTGAAATCTAACAAATTTATTAATCATATAGTAAATTCATGTACAAATATAAGATGGAGAATCAGTTCAAAGAGGGAGACAATAAAAAAATATGAGGACAGCAAAAGATTAAAGGTGAACAGTAAATAACTAATCAAGATCATGTTCGACAAAATAGGCTGTCAGTCGTACGTGGAGAAATTCGAATACCTCATTTCTTTCTGTAGTTTGTGCTAATGTTAATGTTCAGAAGAATAACAAAAGCTTGACAGCACAGGGTTGTGGAGATTGTCGAGTTTTAATTGAGATCTTGAAGTAATAAATGGTAGACCATCATTAAAAACCTAGAGGCACTAGACGACCGTTTCGTCGTAGTATAGGATCCCTCAGAAGTGTGCACACACGATCCAGTGTACTGTATTCGAACCCAACACATCCGGTCTTGCACACAAACGCTAAAACTTCAGACCACTGAGCCGATATTCAATAGTCTTAATATCTGACGTCAACAAATCTACGATATTGCGCGGCCATCTCCAATTGTCTTCGGTGGCTAACTGCCTCATACTTGACACAGTTGACTTCCACTGGTCACGGCTTATCACTATAAACCCGACAATTACCGCTCGAAGATAGTCATTAGTGAGCAGGATCGTGTATGTGCACTGCTGACGAGTCCTATACTAGAACGAAACGGCAGTCCAGTACTTCCAGGTTTTCAATTATGGCCTAACATTGTTTGCTTCATGATTCCAAGGAAAAGCTTCACAATTTAATTATCTAGTTCAGAGAACGGAAAATGACTCATCTAAGTTATGAATTTCTTCCACTGACTTTATGTAAGTTTGAATGATAAGAATATTTTGAGAATTGGCTTACACACACAACGTTTCATTTGTTATCTGGTTTAACTTAGGACAGAATTGTGTTAATCGAACAGGGACTTAGCAGCAGTTCATGAAGTCATTGAATTTCGATATTAGCCAGATCAAGAACTTTATACTTGTTTCACATGATTCATAGTGTATTAAAAATTAATTGATTTCTTTGCTACAAATACATTCAGTCATTATTCTAACTTTATAGTTTCATGTAGTGTGTATTTTCCTACACTTTAAAGTTGAATATATGTAATTTATTGTCCTTGTTAATAGTTATTCCTGAAGCTTTACTATATCTGATGGCGACAATTTGAGATAATCAACTGATATGTTAGGTTCATTACTATCCCAGCCAAAAAAGGAGTACTACATATCAAGTTGCATCAGGATAGAAACATATGACTGTAAATGAGATTAAAGAAGTCTATACATACCGAATAACTTCAGTTGTCAAGATTATTGTCGTGATAATTTCCATCCGTGCAAATCCAACGCGTTCAAAACTTAGACGAGCTATCCATGTTAAACGGAGTACAAAATCTTCAATGATTGCAAAAAAATAATAACCTCTATATCTGTAGACTAGTTCATCACGTAATAGTTTATCTTCTGACCGACAATCTAATAAACCCCAATCCATAAGAATATCCCATGCATATGTATAACCAGATCGTATAATACTAGATATAATATAAGCTACCAATGGCCAAGTACCTGTTAATATAACAATATATAAATTGAAAAAAAGTTTAAATCAGTAATTATTATAAATGGGTAAATGAGTAAAAATAACTTGTTGTAACAGAGGATAGTAAATCATAAATACTTAGGCGAACTATATTCTAGGAAGAATAAAGATAATTTATCAAAAAACTTTTCTTTTTGACAATAATATGTACTAAAGCTATACAATCGTAATTACAGTTAATTAGAATAAATAAGCCTAGAATAAAATAAAATATAATTGAATTATATAAACGATTATCGAGAATGTTTTCAATTTCTGAAAAAGGACTGAGTAACAGACCAAGGTGAAAATAGAATACAAATAAAATATAATTATCATCTTGAAGAATATTAAGAAACTGCGAATGAGTCAGTCAGTCAGCTACAACGTAGGACCAGGCACAAATATACATCGGTCCAAGTTGCCATACCTCATTAGCACAACAAAATGAACACCGAATTCATAGAAGTAGTTAATTTAGTGGTGATAATATATAAAACGAAGGTTGCATATAAGAATAAAGTATAGGAAGAAAGATATGAAGCAATTTTATTCTCAAGGTTTAAAGTAAGATAAAGAGTGTATATACCTGCGCCACTGTGATCGATTCTGAGCCATGCCATCTAGAGTCTCCAACCATCGGTTACGATAGTCACGCGGACTCCAACCAGATAGTCTGCATCTGCCAACATGGCTCAGACTAAAAGTTAGTGGCTTCAAGCACTGATGCCACGTTTTGGTTAGGCCACCTCTAACTCTCTTCCAACCATCTCCAATACTAATCTGCATTGCACGTCGTGGTAATCGATGTTCAGCCATACGTAACACGTGGTCCAACCATCTCAGTCGATGAAGATTCACAACCTTATCAACTGATTTACCATCATTCTCCAATACCCTGCGTCTAACCTTACTATTATTTACCCAGTGATTCCAGCAGATGGGGGCAATATTTCTAAGATATATGTGGTCAAATACTAGTAACTTACGAGTATCTTCTACTCTTAATGGCCACGTTTCGCAGCCGTGAAGTAGAACAAAGAGAACTGCTGAGTTGTATACTCGTCCCTTAATTGATAGACGGATATCTCGTCTTCGCCATAGGTCACGTAAGTTGGCAAAAGCCAAACGAGCTTTCTGAATCCGTGCTGAGATTTCATCAGACACCAACCCGTTAGGGCTGATCAGACTTCCAAGATAAGTGAAGTTGTCGACGCGTTCGATTACTTCACTTCCTATCCTTAGTTCGGGTGTTGATGCAGGCCAGTCCTGGAGTAACAATTTACATTTAGATGGGGAGAAACGCATCTCAAACATCCTGACATTATTACTCAGTTCTAACAGAAGACTCTGCATTTTGTCAGGGTCTTCACCAAACAGGACTATGTCGTTTGCGTATCCTAAGTTGATTAGTGGACCTCCTGGTAGAAGATCAATTCCTGAAAATTCAGTCGACGAGAGCGTTATTTCCAGCAGTAGGTCTATGATGGAGTTAAACAAAAATGGGGATAGTGGACAGCCATGTCGGACACAACTTGAGGTTGTAAAATCAGATGACAGTCCTCCATAAGCTCTCACTCGACTGTTAGTGTTAGTGTTCGAGTAAAGAACCTTTATAAGGTTTATGTACTTCTAAGGTACATCTTTTAATGACAGACACTGCCACAAAGCCTCTCGGTCTACAGAGTCAAATGATGTTTTCAAGTCAAGAAAAACTATCATTGTCGAACACCGATAAGCATACTTGTGTTCTAAAACCACTGTGAATGAAGAGTGGCATAATGCCATGAATCGCTTGAAAAATACAAAATACAGGAAAAAACCATGAATGTCTGATAAATAATTGCTAAAATAAACATATTTTATGGGAAAGAAACAGTTGTTTAAACTAATTGAATGTACATAATAATAACTGGTTATTAATTATGAAGAATTAATGAACAAGAAATAACAATAGATTATCGAATATAGAAGATAAATATTTGAGGTGTGCAGTTTGTCAACGCTTCCCAATCTAGGTAGACTATAATGAATATGATTAATTTATGAAACAAACTCGATTAAAACAAAGGAAAGCTTGTTTATATGATGACCATTTGTGTTAGCCCAATTAAATGGAATAGCAACCACCTGACCAGCAAAAATTATGATTCATCTATGGTATACTATTGTACTCTATTTATCCACTAATTCAGGCAAGTTTTTATTCGTGCCCAAATTATCATAATAACATGCAAGTAAGATATCCTGTAGCTTAGTTTTTGATAATAAAATATTAAGTGCATATACTGAATAATAACTGACGAACCAGTTATTAGACTGAAGTATCTATTTGTATATTTAATCTATTAAACAAATAATATGCAACAGTTTCCAATCATAAATTGAAATTTAGGAAGATTCATTAAGTCTCTTAAATATAATTCTAAAATGATATAAGTGAGAAAGGCTTTGGTGATAGGTTACAAGAGGAACGTGTCTCATAATGATCAAGGATTCTAACCTGAATGTAAATGAATTACTTCTAGGAAAAAAGTTTGTTCAGTGAATTCAGAGAAATTAAATGTAGCGATAGACATAACAGTCTGAAAAAAATTCAGGCAGCCTTCAAGTGTATTTTAAGTCTTTTACAATTCCGTTACATAATTAAGAAAACGTTTATAAACCTAAAATTTAACGAATACACAAATATGATTAGTTAGCCCTGGGAATTTTTAAGAACAAGCCTTAGAATAATAGTTTGACTGTCTCACAAACTAATTTCATTTTAGAAGTTGAGAAAAATCACTTTCTCAAATTGATCTATATGGTTTATTATACTGATTAACAAGCGATAAAGACCTTCATTTAATAACCATACAGAAATCAATCATGATAATTAATAAAGTCCTATTTATAGTGATTTTTTAATACCTCGCTTGAGTTAGTGAATATTAAGCACAAGCTATCAGAGGCATGTCAAGATTAGACCATGAGTGTTTCAATAAAAATCAACCGCCTTCTAGACTTAGTGATATTCTTACAAACAAACAAATAAGATTAACAACTAAAATTTTATCTCTAGGTCTTGTAGCAATTTTCAGATTAAGCAATTATAGTGTATTGCTAAAGAATCTGTATTTGGAGGCTCGTGATATCATGAAAGTTGACCGTGAGTTTTCATCTCAATAGCTTGTGGTCGTGGTGTTCCCCGTAGATATTGACTTCCAAATTTATTATTGATGTAGGTCTACAAAAAGTAAAGTGAAGATAGACCTCTGTTTGAAAATATACTTTATTTCATTTTGTATACACAGATAGCTAAGTCCTCGACTGTTTGAGCGCCAGAAAAAGCAGTTATCTGAACATTTCGTAAGAAAATGTAGTAATACTTCCCGAGATAAACCAAGGTCTGAAATGGTTGAGTGAACTGATAAGTTGAATAATGATCATTGTTTTGCAATATGATCTATTCTAGTATACCTAGACTAAAAATGAGAGGCTAAAATTTACTAGGTAACACTTTTTCCTGCCTGGTTACTACAACTGTTTTGTGAAAAATAAAATTAGATAACTTGTTGAAATATCTAGATGACAGGAACAGGTAACCCAGATATTTGAACAGGCCGCCAATCACTAAGTGGTCTCATTTAGACCGTCATTAAAGACTTAGAAGCACTGTTCGATTGTTTCGTCCTATTACGATACTCCTCAGAAGTGCAGATCCACGACTCCACATCCGGGAATCAAATCTGGGACCCTCAGTCAGGTGTGAGACAGTTATCCACTACTGGAAATGGATGGGGCCTGGGCAGCACCGTGAGTCGGTTGGTGTCAGACATTAACACCGTTGGATACTGCCTCAATGGTCTAGAGGCTTAGGAACCGCATGTGAAACAGATGGCCTTTGATTCAATACTCGGATGAGTGGTCGTGGATGCGCACTTTCGAAAAGCATCATACTAAGACAACATGACTCCCCAGTGCTTCCAGATATTCAATGGTTGTTTAATTAAGATCGGTTCGTGATTTAAAGTATAAATGCTTTGCTTTGTGTTTTAATCTGCTATAATAATTCAACAAATGTTCATTCGAACTACTTCAAATTCGACTTTTTGTTTACGTCAAAGTGAAAGCCTATTGGGTATTAGCGATAATCTATTAGGCTATTTAAATTCACAAATGGACAGTTATTTAGTTCTGTAATGGGACTTCTTAACACTGTGCACCTATGACCCTTAAAGTCCCAGCCTAATAATTCTAATGGTCAAACATTCATTGTAAGACCTGAAGGCTCTGAAACCGATCCTTGGTGGGGGCATGGGTACGTTCTGATAAAGATTTCAGTACTAGAACGAAATAATTATTCACTCTCCCCTGGTTTTCAATGGCACCACGAATAAGATCAATATTCGTCAAATACTGTATACAAATGCGAATTCAGTGACAACCTTCAGCTTATCAGATTGATAATTTTTCTAGCTGCATTTTTATCAAACATTTATCTGAAAATTAAATTCTTCATTATAAACATTGAACTGATTGTTTCTTGGAAATAAAATATCGAGAAACACCACATTCATAATGTGTGTCGTGAAAACTATTTATTAAAACATTATAAGCAAAGTGTTACGATTAATCGTTTTCCAGAAAATTTTACTTTACATACCGACGCCAATTTACGTCTTTAAAATGAAAGAGTCTAGATTCTTATTCGTGAGTAAATCTATGGAAAAAATGAGAAACCCTGGATAAACAATTTTCTTGCCAAATTTTCACTGCGATAGAATAACATAAGATGTAACTGAAAAAGTTTGAATTCGTTAATAAAAGAAACTTGAATGAAATTTAATCTATTAGAGCTTATTATAAGTCATTTACAAAACCATAATAATCGACTGATATATAAGAAGCGTATAATGAGTAATTAGCTTCTTAAAGTTAGTCAGGCCAGGTAACAGTAGTAGTTATTACTCATGGAGAATACATCTGTAGTAAAAGTATCCTGAATGGAGTGATCCACTATAAAGTATCTTACCCAATCATATAATAGTGAACTATTAACCGAGACTCAGGAGTTTGTTACGAAACTTATAAAAAGAATTAATCACAAAGACAAATTAATTATCAAAAAAATCTTTCAGAAGTTATTCACATGATTTCATTTCAGAAACAAAATCATTTAAAAACTATGGAATTCTTTTAACTGTCCCACTAACTTTTGAATACATACTGAGAAGAAATACACAAAACTGAACGACCTAACATAGAGGGCACTTAAGTTCCGATCCATCCGTTTGTTGTTACATTAAGATAAAACATATCTAGATAAAAACAATATGACGAATAACAGGCAACAATTAATGACTAACCTCGATCGAATGCCAACCAGACACCACAAGTAGATACTAGAAATGCTGTAGAATATTTCCCTGCGTTCAATAAATGAGGATTGGCTTTTTTAACATCCATGTCTCGATAACGCCTCAAACATTGAGCGAATCGAAACCAAGACGGTAATACCTTTAAAATTGGATCCAAACCAAAAAGAATACCTTCACATTGACAGCTATTAGCTAAGAACACGAAAATAGAAATATTCATAAGCAAAAAATAAAACCGAAAACGGAATAATTTGCAAAATACGATGAATTCATTGTATTTCATTACTTTGTCTTCAGTTACATAAAAGTTAATATTTTTAGTTGTTTTTAATTATTAACAAGATGTTTAATTTAAATAATAAATGGTCAATAACATATGGACTATGTAGAATGTAAAGGGAATTAAGAGCCCAACTTTGTAACAGGAATTTGTAGTTGTTTGGGAGTAATAATTCTGGAATATTTAAGATATTATTACGCGATATAACAGAATGATAAGTGTGAAATATTGAGTGAGGGCTTGGATAAAGTAAATCTGTCTGCAGTAAATTTAACTAAGTTTAGAAAATGGAGCCAAATGATAATCGTTTTCAAAACATAAAAAGGTAAAATTATTGTATTACCAATATGATGAAGTGAACAATAGTTATCAAATAAGATAGGATATTTATATAACTTGTAACCGTGACTTAATGATTGTTCCAATTACCATAAAAAACAATATAAGTTTGCAATAAAAACGTATCTTTTTTGTTCGAGTCAATTTTAAGGTGGTAGAACCAATCGGAAACAAATAAGAATCGTCTTCAGGAACTTTTGATAATAAGCTTGACCAACAGGTCACCGAAGACTGGTTATAAAAGCCAACTTGGTGACTGAACATATGGAGTAAAAGGGATAACGGGAAAACCTTTGATGACTAGTTGAGGTTGAAGGTCGTTTTCTCCATGATATAATACTAGCTGAAAAACTTTCTAAAATCAATGAGCTCGCGGCTGTTGATGTTCAACTATGGTGATAGACGCATAGTCATCACTGGTTCTATCAGATGATTTCTGCGTTGTATCACGAATTGACTGCAGTTAAAAACGTTTATCAAAACAGTGATCTAAGGGTGCCGTGTTCATCACAGTATTTGAGGATTATTATTGATCATTGTTGAAGTGTTTCAAATCTAAATGGGACAACTGCATAGTACTTCCTAACTTTCGTTGATTTTTCGTCAAATAATAACACATCAGAGCTAATGAGTTTTAGTAATTTCAATATTGATTATTGATTAACAATTATAGATAAATTTAAATAATAAACAATTAATAACTATAGAGTAATAAATTTAAATAAAAACTAAATATCATTTTTATTCAATTTGAAATTTGTTAATAAATGTAATTAATTCATTTTCTATCCATATTAATGTGTCAATACCATGAGAGTTCATTTTAACTCTTCACTATAATCTACCTTACATTAAAATTTGTAAAATTTTTATAAAAAAGGTAACAAACCTTTTTTTTTAATTTTTTTATATTAATTTTGTGCATATAACAATCATTGATAAAAAAACATTTTATTCTATATACCTTTTTGATTGTTATTATAGGCATGATAATGTAGTAATCTTTCCACTTATTTTTTTTATTGTGTGGTACTTATTAATCAGTTGTAGATGTAATTTTGAAAGGACTAATACTTTTCGAGAAATTCTAATTAACGTTATATCTTGGATAGATTATCTACAAACAGTCAGCGTGAAACCGGCCACATGTGTACATAAGTTCACGTCGTTACACCACAGGCGTGACCATTGGAGTTCAACTCATTGAAAATAATGGTGGACGATAGCGCAATTTTGTGGGTTGGTTGGAGTTAGACATTAACACAGTTAGATGCCAACTCAGTGGTCTATAGGTTAAGCGTTCATGCGCGAAACCGATAGGTCCTGGGTTCGAACGTCGTAAGGCGGGGTCGTGGATGGTCACTGCTGAGGAGTCTCATACTAAGATGAAACGGTATTCCACCGCTTCCAGGTTTACCACGATGGTCTAGCTTCAACTGTTTCATGAATTCAAATAATAAATTACTATAATATCCATAAAACCCCTCTCTAAAAATAAAAATGACATGATGAATCCTATCACAAACATCGAATAAAAATGTATCCCGAACAATTTAAAAAAGACTCAAATTAGTTATTTTTATTCTTATTTAGGAAGTAAAAAATTACAAAACCATTCATGAACAATAACTGCTATAGTTTGGATTTATTCAACTGATGAAACTTTTAATGAACATTGACAGTAGCCAAATATTATAAAAATATTTTAACCAAGTGTTTTATTGAAATAAAATGTTTTGATCTTTATCAAACAATCAAATAAGTATGCTGTTTTAAGTCTTAAATTTTATAAAAGTACTCACAAACAATAACTATAAACATCGACAATAAGTTCATTTAGTATTGTTTGTTTGAATCTTCCCATCTATGTGTTAGGACTGCAACTGGTCAGTCTCTAATTGGCATATGTGCATACTGTGCGTATTGCCTCGATAATATGTTAAAATATTTTCATTTCAATATTTTTCACGAGATGGGATATACAGATAATAAAATATCAACAATCTTGCAGCAGTAATACATCAGTTTAATCATGAAAATTATTTGAACATAGAATAAGTATCAAAAGTTAAATATTCTTAATTAGAAAAGAAAGTTGTATGTAGTCATAGACTTCTGAACAATCACATTGATTTGTTTAAAGGACTTTTATGTTTAGTGATTTCTGTGTAAAGACATTCATAGTTATTTGTTTCAGAAATTAAGTTCTTACTCCTTGTGTGACTACTTCAAAACAATCTAACGTTAATCGCACTCTGTTATATTGTTTCGTTTAAAAAATAAAAAGTTTAAATTTTTCAATAACAGGATCATTATGGTAAAAGAATCAATTATATGGTTGAAATTTTTCAAGTTTATAGATTTATCATTAACGCAAAAACTTTGAGTCATTTATTCCTTATAAAAGCCATGAAAAGGATGAATAGCAACTGGAAAGAACTTGAAAAGATCGCCTAAGACAGGGTTGGATGGAGAGTGCTTGTGGGCGGCCCGTGCTCCTCTACGAGGGGTAATGGGCATAAGTAAGTATGAGAGGTATGCATTTAGTTCATTAACACAAGGGCTTTGTAAATACAAACTGTTTTGTATAATCATAAAATACAAATACCTTGGTTGAAATTCTTGTATAACCTAGTACTATACATTTGAAACGATTATACGGGACTTTGCCAAGAAGTTGTTACTTATGAAAATAAATATGTACTATCAGTAGACATTTCAGGAGATTGTTAAACGCTAGTGATATTATGAACCGCATAAAGTCAATACAATATCATGACTTGATTGAAGTAAAACATGTACACCAGTGGATTTCAGTTTAGCAGTCAAGAGGTTAGAAGTTCACACAAGAGAACAAAATTCAAGAATTCGAGCCCCTCTGTGGTCAGAGAGGCCCAATGTTGAGAAGTTCGATCTCATGACAACATAGATGTTCAGTGCTTCCAGGTTTTTAATAAGTGCCGAACTTAGGTCGATTCGTGATTTCAATACGATATGCAGCAGAACTAAAAATGAATACACGCTGTTATAGTTCGCCCTATTCGATGATATTTCAATTAAGTTATATTACTTTCTATGCACATAAAGTGCGTAATTAGCAAATAATAATCATGACCAACATACTAAAAAAGTTCCAGCGAAGTTGAGATGTGCGTGGAAGTGGGATCGAGGACACGGGTTTCCTCCTATTTAATTAATTGATATGGACTCAAAAGCTCAATGGATAAATGAAGAAATGGATTATAGCTCCAGTATCAGTATCACCACTGTGATTCAGTGAACCTAGCTAACGAGCTTCAAATAGAACGAAACACACATCTTGGATTCCACTGTTAGGCTCATTTCAACAATATCAATGCAATGCGCCCAGGCGAAATATATTTCTGAAAAGGATGATTAGATGCCGTCCTTAATATTAACAAAGGGAAAACTTGTATCTATACATTTACAAAATTAAATTATCATTTTTGATTGTTATAGGAATATAATTTAATGCCTTTTCGAAATAAACCTAAACCACAGATGTGCATTTTGAGAAAAAAAACAGAAGAAATCTTAAGTAAAATAAAAACTCCGGTAACTCCAGATGGTATTTAAACTCAAGTTACTTCTCAGAAGAAACGGATTTGCACTTTTGTATATATATATATATATATATATATATATATATATATATATAAACAGTGTACTCAATCACATGACATACTTAGTAAGTACATTGATTTCTTCTGATCAAACAACTAGAAGGAAAACATGAATTTACATTTTTACACGATGGTTATATTAAACAAATCTCATCAAGTCATATTTTGTAGTGAATTTCAGGCTAGTAATAATACTCTAAAATACTGGATTTTTATAAAATGTACTATTTTTTTGCTAAAGAAATTACAAAACCTGTCTAAGACCAACTCACCTAAATGACAATATTGCAGCGATAAATAAGAGATCTTTAAGTTTATGGAGAAAAGTCCAATGACTCAATGATTTGGATTATAAATTGGCATTAACTATAAAACGAAGAATAATTTAACAGTCATTTGAATTTCAGTGCTTAAGCTATTGCAAAGAGCCCGATATAAGTATATTTTTTTGTCATTAGTTAATCGGTTCACATTTCCGCACATGAATTTAATTCTACACCTCTAGGGATAACCATCTATTGCAACAGATAAAAATTAAGTTTTACCAACAACATTCCACAAGTCACAAGGTTTTGATTTTGAAATTAGTTACTAGTTGTCACTTGATTTTAACGGGACGATAAAATCGATTATGTACATACGATATTTCGTTGTTGAACAGTGGATAATAATTTTACACAAATAAATCTTCAAGATATTATAACAAGCAAAATACTATAACCAGTCGTATATTAATCAAAAACCAATAAATTTAGAAAACATTTCAGGATGGGAAATAAAAAATCACTGACTTCATTCATTGGTCAATTTTGGCCAATCTATCAAACCAATGTGTAAAATATGTATAATCAAAAGTTTGTATACCTTTTTTTCTACGTTTAGTTTTAACATAGCATTCAAGTCTACTAGTTAATTAAACCATTTACCAGAAAGTTATCGCTAGAGAACGCGTTAAATACCATTTCCATTGATTGCTTCAAACAAACATGAGTTAATTTAAAAAAATAAGCTAATACCAGAAATATATTGATAAAATTTACACTGTATTGTATGAAGTTACAGACGAAGAATGTAAAAGAATTTCACTTTAAAAGTAGACTATTATTCCCTCCTTTATATTTTGAAATTTCTCACCAACTCTTGATGATCAATACAACTATAATGTATATGAAACCTAGTACATAAATTACTGACTTAATAGAAGAAATGAGGTGGTTAAAATCCACTTGTATAGTTCAAAACAGAACTAGATGACACATAAATTACTGTCGATCCGTCCTGATAGCTCTATAATGAGCCAATAAAAAAATCTTTCAAGGTAGAAAGAAACAAGTGTTGCACTTTAAAAAAGAAACTAGAACAATGAAATATTGATAAAAAAAATTATGAAGAGAATGTATAGTTCTGGTAAACATTTCATAAGTATACAGAGCGAAACAATGAATACTAATCTTTTTAAAAATCAATGAAAAGAAGTTAAATTATACTTCAATCATAATTTATAATTATAAGAAAAAAATACACAGAGATTAATGGAGAAAATAAAAAGATCAATTAGGTAAGATGTTTTCTACAATTAAATTAAAATCAACTTGAGACACAACTTATTCACCTAACTGTTTCAAGGTTAGAAAATATCATATTACCCTAAAATGGTGTTTGTTTCGATAATCCCTGTATTAATCTATCAATGTTTAAGTATTAAACATATGATAGACTATATCTTATACAAAACACTGACATCAAGTTTTATTTATTATGTACTGATAGGTTCCCGAACTCCAACCTAGATGATTTCGAATAATTGCTTAAGTAAACTTTAGGTTTTTAATTATCGAAATCATCATTTACATTCATAACACTTAAAAAACTGTTATAAAAATATGCAAAAAATAACTGAGGCTTTTAAAAATAAACCTCATTTATTTTTTCAGTAAACCACAAAACTACATAAATTAATATGAATACAAACACAAAAAACTTAAAATACTATTCAAGTGAAATGTTTTTCAGAAATAAAATAGATATTCTGCTGATGCTTTACTGAGTGACCATCAGTTGTTTGCTTTCCTCACTTCTGAAAAATAATCTTGTAAAGAAGTCTGTTTTTCTCTTAGACATAACATATTACAAACCGGAAGAGTGAAGACTAACTGTAACTGACAGTTTCCCTTCAAGTAGACCATAAACTTAAATTTATATTGAGTGAAAAAATATTGTAGGAGTACAATATTTACATTAAAACTATATAAAACTATCCTTTAAACTATGTTTTGAATTACCTATTTCTAAATAAATTATGCAATCCAATTTGAATAAACCTTATTATTGAGAATAATATTAATACTATATAAATTACACAAAGTCTTAAGTGGACACTGTCAACAATTTTACTCTATTTTTAACAAAGCTTGCTTCAATACTCATTCCAATTTTAAGAATTATTTAGAGACAACCTTACCAATGAAAGATTAATAGGTAATATCAAAAGAACAAAATCCCGATTCTTCATGAATATAGATAAATATATTTTTAACGTAAAATGAAAATGAACATCATCAATCATATCCATCCAATTTATGGACTCTGTATATTTGGTTTATCATAAATTGATACATGACTATAATATCTGGCTATGACAAAAAGAGTACAATTCCAAAAATGAACACATTCTACTATGTAGACTAATGTGCTGAAAACATAAACTAAAGTACCAAAATGCAATGATGGAGTTCAACTAGGCAACAAAAGCACAGAAGGTAGACAATTTAACAAAAATGAAATAATCATTTTACAGATGTATTAAACGAATCAACAATCAAAAAGCTTCAGAAATTACATTTTGAAGCTTTAAACGTTTAATCACTATGAAGTTTAAATTTTCATTTTCTATCTCTTTACAGTGATTTATATTCAACACTTTATTTATCTATTTTCCTGATTTTACATGATCAAACTTAAGAAATCACTCAAGTTCTAATCAATTGTAAGAAAAACGAAATAAATTTACAACGAATATGGAAATATATTACTGTTTAAACAAGCTTTTGACTAGGGAAGAACAACCAAGTACTCCAAGAAATTAAATAAAGAGCAAGCTTTTAACAGTCTATTGTCAACAAAGACAAGATCCAATATTCAGATCTTAATTCCGTTGATTAGTCATAGGTTTACAAAATTACATATTGTATCAAATTGCAAATAATTTGGATGATTATTAATGTTTCTCTGCAGCTAAATACTTTATATGACTAAAGATATATGACATTTTCCTTCTCAGTTATTTTGTTTCTTGACATTCATACATTTTTGAGTTTTTCGTCATTAATCAAGCTATCGTAAATAATATTCTGGGTCATTTTACATCACCGTCAACAATCGATGTTATTGTCGCGGACACGTTTATATTTCTTTACTACAACAAATGGCATCAAACCGTTGTTAATCGATTAAACCTTGGTTATTATCTCTTACGAAAACAGCGTATTTTAGCATTCTACTGAATCAACTTTTTTAGGAATTACTATTACACAAATCATAAAATTCTTACATAAAAAAGTTATATCTATCCGATCAATATTATGTATATATATATATTAAATTAGTCAAATAGCACTTACCTATAATTTCGTTTGAATGGGAAGCACAAGAAGGAATTGTTAAACGTGTTGAATTAGAATATTGACTATTATGTCCCGTAACTAGTGAAGGTAACGTCACAGAAGAATTTTGTGGTTTGTAACTCATTCCATTAGCCCAATCAATTTGTGATGAATAAAAACAAATAAAATAAGCTATATCTGGAAATATAAAACTTAGACTAGTTAGTTGATCTGCCAGCCAAAAATCTGCGAAAGACACTTTTGCAAATGGTGCTCTGATAATTCGTCCCTGAAAAGAAGAAAAAACAAAATAGAATGACTGCACACATAGATATGACAGTATGAAGATTTCGTGTACGTTCACATGAATAAATTTAAATAAAAAAGCGTTAATATGTAACCATAGAAAAGATTAACTGTAGCTAATAGTAGGATTCAGGACACATGTTTCATCCTATTAGTCCTCTCAAGATGCACATATGACGATAGAGACTGATCAGTTGCAGTTCTTAACACAAATGAGTGAATAAAAACCATTGCAAATAAAAATTTAACTGTTAAGTCATATGAAAAACCTACCAAAGACAGTTTTTTTCGAGGTAAACAGATTTATACTACAGAGTAAGTTATATTATAAAATTGAGATGACCCAATAATCGACCATTTTCGAATATGTAAAAGGTAATACTGATGAATCTAAATTACATCAATGCAATAAGCTATGTGGTATTTCAAAGATATAAAATAATAACGAATAGCAATCAAAAAACAGCACAAAGTAAACAGATAAATATAAACACGAAAAACAAGCCTGTGAAGAGTTTGCAGAACTCAGTTAATAAAAAAATAAAACGTAAACCAGATCATATGACGCCGACATTAAGGTAATAACAAAAAAGAATACGATTTTCATATATATCAGTAACTCTTCTCTTGATCTATATACCTTTTTTTTATAAATTTTAAAAAGTATTACAAAAATGCTGCTGTAAAAAGTAACGACATAAATCGATTCACTTTTGATGTTAGTTACATAAATCTGTTTGTCTATTAGATCAAGTTCATATGCCGAGTTTCTATAAATTAATTAATGATTACACTGTTAAACAAAAATATTTATATCAAACTTGGTAAATATTGTATATACAAATTATTGTTTTTTTTCCATACGGATCTGGTTATATATGCATCACGGCATCTTGATTACAGAGTAGTGATTTCAAAGATATTACACTCGGTCATATAATGAGTACACATTATTACTAGAGACGAACCTAAAATGTCATTACAATAGTTGTATTATTCTTTGTCCTCGAACATTTCATATTAGGAGATAACTGACTATTTTGATGAGGTTTTGTTGTTTGAGATAGATAGTTTGGTCGTGGAGCTTTCATCGTCCTTCTGAGCGACAAACTAAACATCACAGCACAAAATAAATTGTGCAAAATGAGACAAACACTACATCGAACAAAGCGGACACTCACTCATCTTCGCCTACATGAACACCAATTAGCAGTCAAACACCATGACATTTCTTCACTCATATCAATACACGTGGACAACTATGGACACACATTCGACTGGAAAATTGTAGAGATTTTGGATCGAGGCAATTCCAAAAACACCAGAGAATTTTTAGAAGCTTGGCACTCAGGTCAATCAGCAATAAACAAGCACATTGAAATCAATCCAATTCATCAATCAATCAGGAAAATTATGCAGAAACATAGGAACAAAAATAAAACCAATGGGAGATACAACCAAAACAAAGAAATAAACAATGACAGATTTGATGTCAACAAGAACCGATCAACATCGAGGTGTACAGGACAAGCTGTGAACCACATGTGGAGAAAGTCAAACACTTCACTTCTATCCAAAGTTTGTGCTGATGATGTCGTTCAGAAGGACGATGAAAGCTGGACGACCAAACCATCCAGCTCAGAGAACAAAACTCCATCAAAATAATTCACCTGAGCTACAAATCTTCTCCACCATAACTGACTATTCATTTCAAGAAAAACATGATAGAATAAGTTATGCTGATCAAGAAAACTACCTTGATTTATTCAAGTCTTTACAACATTACACTAATTGAATCCATTTTTACTCATTATGTCAAACATTATTGTCCACACATTGGACTTAGAAGACAGTTTTTACATTCTATTTATTAAAATGTATTTCTCAGTTTAGACTGGTTTACAGTAATCACAGATTTTCGAAACAGTAAGTAAAATTGTACATTGACAAACTTAGAAAGTATTTTCAATACATTGAACTATTTTAGAAAAACATCCAAGACATCAATTATAAAAAATAACGATGAGATTTCAGTAGGATAAAGGTTAAATTAAAACTAATAATAATGATGATTTTTAACTGCTTAATCTTTGTTTATATTATATAATCACTCTGTACTATGTGTTCTACCGTCTGTTCCACTGGTTTTTGTCATTTTCTTGTTATGGTTTTATAAACTAAGATCAAGAGTTTTATTTTATCGAAATAAATCAAAATTGATAGATAATAAGAATTGTCACATCTGTAACTAGTCTCATTCCTCGTAATAAAGGAATTCATAGACCAATTAGAATAGTTTCCTTGAAAATTTCAATTATTAATATTAAAAGCCCTCTAATTTAATATTAATATTCCACCAGTTTACACAACAACACTTGGATACTATCTTTATTAATAATATTCCTTAATGAAAAATATATATAAATCAATGATTGTAAAATGAAATATATTTTTTTTCGGCAAATCAATCGTTTACTATTCATGGCAGTTGAGAATAATATTAATCATATGACTTTGTTATGAAATAATATTATTGTCATTTAGATTCACTTGACAGCGTATAAAAACAAAAAAACTCAATAGTAAATTTCAAAATAAGATTTTTGACTATTTTCTATGTTTTAACTGTGTAACTGTACAATTAATTCTGTGATATATATATATATATATATATATATATATATATATACCGGTAGGTTCCATGAATTAACTTTCATATACCGAATAACTAACTAAATAATTATAACAAACTTACTGGTGAATAGCTGTGTGATGGATTCTTGAAGTTGTTTTAAAACCATTATATATGGAGTCTAAAGTGTTGAAAATCAAACACTCATCTCTAATAATGTAACTGAACAATAGTCGAACTATTTGATCTTATCATAAGATTTAACATATTTAATATGAATTACCTACTTGAATATTGATTGTTGAGTTGTTGTTTAGAGGAAACTACTCATAGCTGTTAGCCAAAGTTATTCAATTATTCTTTGTACATTCATGTTGAAATGATTAACACATTAATAAAACAACATTTTTCATTCATTTTAAATTATATTAAATAGAAAACTTACTAATACACGTAATAACCAACGACGTGCTTTGGAATGAGCAAAACTAAACGGATTGACTAGGTAAAGTGTCATGAATGAAACAAGTACCAATGGTGATGCATAACCAGGTGAATGTAAAACTTCACTAAATAAGAAATAAATCAGCGCACATCCCCAAATCATAGCAAAGAAAAATGAAATCTATAATGAAAAAAAACATTAAATATTATGGTTTTGAATACAAGGTGATAATAATAGAATCTATATTTATTTATAATATCACTAATAATTATATTGAGAATTTAGCGAAAAAAATAAAACGCGAAACTAAACGGAATAAAGTGATCACCTTTTTCCTGTATTTTATTAAATATTTATAATACAGACTGAGAAAGTATAGGAAACAGTCTAGAGAAACCAGTAACTTTATCAACATTTGCTCTTTCTATTTGAGAAAAGTATACTTAGTTATACTACGACATCTTGATGTATCACTTATTCAGAACACTTTCAAATGAACCGAAAACTGTTAAAAATATCCTCATTATTTAATTTACTCATTCCAAAGCCTTCAAATTAATGACAGGAAAACTGAGTATCTGTGAAGAATACACACACATATACGCTTGATGAATAGGGTGGTATATTTCAGTTTATCTGGTTTTTTCATGATAATTCTATGTTTACTACTTTCATTGATTGTTCCAAGTGTTCCGTGACCACATAATATGTTATTTGAACGACTACAACATCACAACTCTTCCAAAAGAACTTTCCCTGAATATCAAATATCTGTCATCTTTTTTAGAACCCCATTCACTGTAATACATTAAGACATTTAACAGCAAGAGAAAATTTCCATCGAATAACTGCTGAGAGAATCACCAAAGATTATTTTTTGATAACTTTCATTAAATAAATCATAAGTACACCAATCAATTAAATTAGAGAACTTAATAAATAAATTTAATTAATCAAATAAACCACATTGAGATGGAGAAGACTTGTAGCTCAGGTGAATTATTTTGATGGAGTTTTGTTCTCTGAGCTGGATGGTTTGGTCGTCCAGCTTTCATCGTCCTTCTGAACGACATCATCAGCACAAACTTTGGATAGAAGTGAAGTGTTTGACTTTCTCCACATGTGGTTCACAGCTTGTCCTGTACACCTCGATGTTGATCGGTTCTTGTTGACATCAAATCTGTCATTGTTTATTTCTTTGTTTTGGTTGTATCTCCCATTGGTTTTATTTTTGTTCCTATGTTTCTGCATAATTTTCCTGATTGATTGATGAATTGGATTGATTTCAATGTGCTTGTTTATTGCTGATTGACCTGAGTGCCAAGCTTCTAAAAATTCTCTGGTGTTTTTGGAATTGCCTCGATCCAAAATCTCTACAATTTTCCAGTCGAATGTGTGTCCATAGTTGTCCACGTGTATTGATATGAGTGAAGAAATGTCATGGTGTTTGACTGCTAATTGGTGTTCATGTAGGCGAAGATGAGTGAGTGTCCGCTTTGTTCGATGTAGTGTTTGTTGCAGTTGGTACAATTTATCTTGTAGATGATGTTTGTTTTGTCCGCTTTTGCCATTTCATCTTTCGGTTTGCATAAGATTGGTAATTCTTTAGGAATTTACTACAATAACTACTGTCGCTATAAAACTTATTTCGAGAACTTGACAATTTTCTCAAGAATTAACTTTGTTGCATGTTTCAATGGATGAATCTACGTGCAATGTAAAAGTAATCATTAAGGATTTTATTGAAACAGATGATAAGTATACTTCTAATAATACTAAAACTGTATTCAAACAACGTAGATACATTAAAATTAATTATGAATATTTGAAAATATCAACACAGAAAATAGTTTTTAATCACTATACAAACCTTATGATCCTATATTAAAGCTATCTGTATTTAAAAAATATATTCGCTTTTTGTCATATAACTCGCAAGTCACGTGGTTTCAACTGTTATATATAGATGGTAAAAGATAAATTATTTGAGGCATTTACCATGTATTTTCATTAAAACGAGTCCTATATCAAATTACATTTACTATCAGTACAAAATATTATTTCCATTGTAGTGACACAATTTTAAAATTGGAATCATAAATATATATTCACATGGTGAAACAGAAACCAATAAATCAATAATTTGATGTCTGGTAAAATTAAAAAATTAATTTTTCATATCATTCAATATCCTCATATATTAATGATATATTAAATGTCACCTAACAAATAATGTTACCTTAATACTAAAATGTATTCATTACTAACAGAACTAACAACTATATAAATGGTAACTACACAGATTGAATTAGTGAGAAATTATTAACCATAGAATATTGTTAAAGCAAACAGGTATTGTTATTGTATTTTGATATTCATTTAAATCAGCATACATTTACCTTTACAAAATATTTCAACTAGAAAAAAATGAGCAAAGATAGATCATCTATTTAGTTGTGCTTTAATTCTATTCACTAATGTGATAATCAACTGTGACGCACAATCAATTGTATGTCAAAAGATAGAGGTAACGCTTAATAAATATGTATTTTTGAGTGAATAAAGCATATATATGTATAATGTAGATAAATGTGATCGCTAGTTTCTTACAATAAGCTATAACGGAAACAAACATAGAAGACTATTAAGTCTCTAAGTAGAATATAGATAATTCAGTGGAGAAAATCTTTTTGATTATATCAATTAATTGAACTGCGTTCTTCGGAAATTTTAAGTACGGTAGTCTATCATAAAGTAGAACACTGTTATGTCACTTAGCAAGCATATCAAAAATGTCATTGAAATCATAAGACGATCTAGGTTAGACTACTGTTGAAAATTTCCTATAAACTTGGAAGCACTGGGTGGCCATCTTGTCCTAGTATAGGTATGCATAGCAGTGAGCATCTAAAACAACGCTCATGAGAATCAAACCCAGGACCTTTGAAAACAGTCACACATTTACTAGTACTTAATATAATAAAATACAGAGACATTGTACCATTTAACAAAAGAATGAAAAATTATCAAGTTTTTAAGTATCGGATCTAAGTTGTGTCAGAGTCTCACAGGTAATAACAAAATAATAATTTTCACAAAGAATCAAAGAAACAATTGTCAACTTTAAGAATATGGAGAACTTGGAAGATAAGGTATTGATTGACACTAACATTTTGTGAAATCAGACAATGGTAAAATAAGAGAATAGTCATAATCTCTATCAGAACCAATGCAACTGACAATAACATTTTAATTGGTCAATCTAAACACTTGATCTTTAAAATGAAATAAAAATTTGAAATATAATTTAATGGGAACAAATGAGACTGAATAATGAGAAACGCAAGATGCTACTAAAATTCAAGATTAGACTGGGAATAAAGAACGAATAAATGCGCTCTAACACTGGTTTGAAGCTATATTTATCAGATTCTTCAATAACATAAAACCAGTTTTTTAGACTACAATCAGGAAGTTCAAACCTCACGATATGAATCATTCCAGCAACCTATGACTCCATGAACTGAGATATATCTTTTCTAGCCATCTCTATACGTTTTCCAAAGTATTCCTATACTACTCACGACTGTAAGGCTTAACCAGTTTAGCCCTCAAAAACTCAGAGGCTAATCAATTGGCTAACCATTCCAAGGTAGTATCTTATATTTAACCTGCGGTTACCCACTTGATAATTCTTTCCTACTCAAATTAATGTGTTCAGAATATGAGATATTAGAGATTTGGGTAAGTTATTTGTCTTTGTAAACAATGGTTTACAACAACCAATGAATGTACAGCTATCTACTGCATAATACACGACCTTCGACAGACATTTCGTCAGCTCCAAAGATGATGCAATAAGGGGGAATCCAAACAATATAGATTTCCCAGCATCTTTTAACTAAATTAAATATGAATCAGTCTTTGCCCAGATAAATATAATAATCGAAACATGTAATACAAGTATCTACCACACTAAAGAGTAAGTTATGGTTTTTTGAATTCAGAACCTTACTCCATTACCGAAGAAGAACACTTTGACGCTTTCAATCTCTATAAATAATTTGAATAAGATTCCATTTTAAAAAATATTTGTAACATAGTTATTACATTTTTTGTCTAAAAATCGATCACGAACAAAGCATAAGATAACAGCCACATAATAATAAAATAAAAACGACTAGCTGTGTATGAAAGCATAGACTGTATAGGTTGACATGCATTGACTTTGACCTTATTCCAAATTGTAATGTTATTAAAAGTAAGTGATTAGACGTAACACAAAGGCTGACATTAGTTGAAGAAGCTCAAAAAAAACTATAATCATAAACTTTTCTTTTGAACGTGATTTTGTTTGAATGTTAACGTAAAAACTGCTTGGCTAGTACTGAAAGCGCTCAAAATATGAGGAGATAGTTATAGAACACATATGATAAAAATAGATAAAAAAACACACGAAAAATACCATATTTTTCAGATACTGAGATTAACTGATACTGATGGATATCGTGCGAATTCAGTACAGTGTTCAGAATCATACAAGTTTTCAAATTCTTACATTTTATTTCAAACTGATATTTGAAACCATTTTCTGTAAATACAATCAAGTCACTGTATGAATAGACTTTTATATTATACGAAAAAATACAGAAAATAACATCGGGTACCGATAGAATGATTTAATAAAATGGCTTTTTGGTAATCTTGCAGAAACCCATGGCTTCTTTCAGATTCTTTGATAATACGAATTCTTCACAACAACAAACACCAACAGCGAAAACCATAAGTGAAGACTTAACTTTGAGTATTTCAATACACACTGCACGTTTCTTGGTTGAAGGATCTCAACCGGTATCATTTACCTTGGTTACCATCTAAAACATTATTCATGCAAATGGATAGGTTATTGTTTAATACGCTAAACTATCTTTCTTATCAGTGTCTACTATAATCAAACCGCTTAATTAGGTCGCATATCAAAACTTTTGTTGGAGAGCAGAGAGAACATTGATCCCTAAGTCTACGTAAACAAAAGAAATTCAAGCCTATAAAGCTTTACAAAAACTAATACATGTTCTAAATAAATAAAAATATAGAAATCATAAAAGTGCTAAATTCAAGGCTTTCTGGTTTAAAACTCAGGCAATTCATTAGTTTAACAAGAAATTATTCTTACTCATTATATGTGAAAAAATTATTATATTTGAAATAGTTTCAGCGATTGAAATATAAATAATCCCAACGTTTCGTCCAGCTAACTTGTCTGGACTTCTTCAGGGAAATAATCAAAATCAATATCATCAAAGAAATATATAGTGTTTTTTAACAATCATATCAAAATCTCTACTACTTTTTAATCCAATCATATTTGAATGTCGAAGTTTTGTAAACAGGATAATATGAGTCAGTTGAATGAGAATCAAGTGAAAAGTTCAACGATGTGAATTAAAGGAGACTGCATAAATTGTGTGTATGTATGTATGTATGTATAAGATGAGTTATTAATGAATGATATTCAGTGTTGATATGTTTCTATGTGAAGTAAAAATAAGAATAAAAGTGCAAAATGAATGTTGAAAAGTTCTTTTTTCTTTCTGAATCAATCGCTGAGACTATTTCAAATATAATAATTTTTTCACATATAATGAATTCTCTGTACTCGGCGCCCAATTATTGTCAAACTATTCGTTCTAACCTTGACGAATATTCGTTTAAATTATTCTTACTGCCTATTAAAAACGGATTAAAAATGTGAAAACTAATAACACCAATCAATTTGTGACTCCCACTTTAAAGCTAAATAAAACTGATCAAGTGACCTGTTATTAATAATTCAATTGATAAGTCATTGTCTAATATTACTTAAAACTAGTACCTTGATGGTAAGAAGAGATGGATAGCGGCTAGCAGTGGAATCCAGGACGCGCGTTTCGTCCTATTTGGGACTCGTCAGCTGGATGTACCTGCATCTCAGAGTTGATGTTCACTCTGGGACTCGAACCCAGTACCCCCGCTTCAAACGCCATCGCGTTATCCACTCGGCCACTGAGTCCTGATAGCCACTTGCTTGTGCGATGGGGTGAAGTTTAAATTCACTTGGTATTGTTTGTTTGAATCTTCCCATCGATGTGCTTACCATGCCTGTGAATTAAAGCTATATTGAAGCAATACGCACAGTATGCACATATGCCAATTAGAGACTGACCAGTTGCAGTTCTAACACATCGATGAGAAGATTCAAACAAACAATACCAAATGAATTTAGTACCTTAATGGTTGAAACCTTCTCTCTTCATATCTCAATGAAGACAGTTTGATAGTATTATCATTACTAGCTCTTTTTTAGAAGGTACGATTAGCAACCATGGACAGTCATCTTTAGTTGATCATTATTATAATTAAATTGCTAACAATGAATTACTGAATAGAACCTATTCAAAATGATATTAATTGAAAAAAGCTGAATTCAGTTTTTATATTAAAGCACAATCTTCATGCATGATTTGCATGATTTCATTGTCAGTACTAGTAACTCAGTTTTATTAATTTTGACTAGTAATTCAAAAAAATAATTAACACAAAACACAAAAAATTTATTTTTATGTCATGTTTTAACCGCTTAAATATTAGTGAATAGCAAGCTGTGTCAGTTATGAAGCTGTAAACACAACAATAAATTTCATATCATATTAAACGAATGCTTTTCATGGTACACGTTTTAAGTGAACTTTAAACTTTATGGTAAATATTATGGACAAAAGCATTTTGTTAATGTTAACAGGTGATATAGTGCTTAGAGTGGAATATGTCACCTAAACTTTGTTGCCATTCAAACTATTCGGTACTCAAACATATAAGTTGTTATTGGCTAATCGAGTACTGAAATCTCGACTATCCTGCGTATATAAATATACACTTCGCTCACTACACACAAACATAAGCCATCATTGTTGAGTGACAATTAGTAGTTGTATGTAGTATGGATTTAAATCAATAGGTCAGAGTATCGATGCTTTTCTGATGAGTTTACAGAAATATATGAGTTAAATATTTACGACTTTAGGGTGACAAAGAATACTAGTAAAATAATCCGCGCACTAAAAATAGCATATTCCTACACATTTTCCGGGACTTAATTTACCTGAAAGGATGTGAAGTTTATTGATACGCAACCGACATGAATTAGCCAAGTTATAAATGTCGATGTTATAATGTTATTCACGAAAAAGAACTAGTTTCCATCACGGATTAACAGCACTTGCAGAATCATCTTAAAACCAATAAGTACTGGATAGCTGTTTTGTTCTCGTTTGGAACTGCTCAACAGTGACTATTATTGACCATATATAAGATAAAACTAGGCTTTTTGATCATCACTACAAGCGTGGCATATTTCACCAATATGTTAAAATCTAAGTTATGTTTCATAATATCAGTCATTTGGCGATACTGAGCGAGGATCTATGGTGTTCATGTAAACAAATGTTTAATCCTAATCGTAGTCTCCTCTTCCATTAAAATTCGGAAAGTACCATTCTAATCTTAAAGAAAATTTTTTTGATGCTCATTATTAATAAACAATGATTTTCCGAAATGTGAAACCTTTTCAGGTACCTTGAATACATTTTACCAAATTTTTTAAAATACTATTTACATAAAATTAATACTTAACAGACCGTTTTTGTCACGAATTGAAATCGATCGGTAAAACCAGTGAAAACTAAAGGTTAATACATAATTTTTTTCTTCAAAAAAGAAACTGTCACAGGATATAACAGCGTATTTGTTTTTCTAACAAACCAGTTTGAAGTGACCGACTGATCATTGTGTTTATTCTTTGGATTTGTTATAAAGGTAATAAGCCTACATATCTTAGTAAAAACGAATCGAAATTCTTAAAGCTTTAATACTAATCCTAAGCTCTAGTTTAAGGAACAAATATTTTTCACACTTAATGTTGTAATTCCTGATCTAACCCTTCATAATCAATTTTTTGACAGTGCCACATGTTATCACTGCCATAGCTATGAAATGATAGCAAATAAAAGGCTGATCAGATACTCGCTCTAGTTTTATAGGCCACATTTTAAAACATTACTGATCCGAATGATATGCAGTATATCTGCCCATTCACGAAGCAGATGAACAGTAGCCAGGTACAATGAAAGATCTTTCTATCTAAAGCCTCTAAATTATTTACAGGTCTCTTGACAGATTTTATAAGGTATGTGGTGGTAAACTACAGCTATCAGATACGAAATCATTAAAAAAAGACAAAGAAGAAATCGATAACCCCGTTTTTATTACCTTGGAATACACCAGTATTTGTACACAAGTTTATGGTCATAAATAGATATCAAGTAAGAAAGAATGCTATGAAATTATAACAAAATGCTTGCACTCAACTACCCAACAGTGCTTTAGTTTGATTTAAATAAAGATTTATGCTTGAGTGTGATATTGAATGACATATTTGGACACTAAAAATATCGAAGGCAATTAATTTCAGCCCGATATTTCAAAAGTAACATGGCATCGGGAACTTCATAAACAATCTAGGATACAAAATAATGTGGAGTTTTGAACCGTAATAAAATATTTGGTCAGTAATGTGATGTTTTCAAGGATTAAGTAGCTAACATTGCTTCTTTGTGATACTTATGTTGAACTCTTCAAATTCTGTGCAAGCAAAATGATATACTAATTTCCTGCCTACAGATATACATTTAGATGAGATCTCAGCGGAAAATGAAAATCTAATATCTTGATATTCTCATGAAGAAAGAAATCATATTTATGCATTACAAAAATCGTTTAATTAACAACAATAGTAATATGTCTTAATATTTAAACTGCTCACCTGTAATAATTGAAAATGATCTAAATGTGTTCTTGGATCCAATTCAAAAATAAGGACATTATTTACACCAGATGAACGCCATCCATATGTATTTACACCAAATAAACAAAGAAAGAATATAAGAAGAAATGTTCCCCGAAATAATCTTAAAGCTGGGAGATAATGTGGTGGTAACGGGCGTAAAAATATACCTAAGTAATATAGTTAGAGAAAGAAAAGGGAGATAAGCAAAGGAAAACAGTTTTAAGTAAAAAAGTGATTATCACCAATAACGTTATTACTATTATCGTCATTATCTGGCAATGAGTTACATCAGTTAAACAAATTCAACATTTTGATTTTGGAAAATTCATCCTTAAGCTGAAATAATCAATAGTTTAGTCGAAAATTATTGATAATAAATCCATAAATCCTAATTGTTGAATACAATTTTTCTAACAATGGTTTTTCCCCAGTGACTTGCCTTTTGTTACAAAATATAACAATAAACCGAAAAATGTACAGCGGCAAAAGAGCAGCATATGATTAAATGAATCATTCTTTCCTAAAACATATGAAAAGATTATTTTCTTTTTTGTAAATACAGTTAATACTGCGAGTAAGGAAAATGCATTTCTACTACGGATTATTATTATAGTTTTTCTTATCCTGTACTAATAATTCAAGAAATCATTTACTGAAAAATAGAGATTGATGGGTAAATGCCACTGAGGCGTCCTCCATACAAAAATGAAATAAATGTTTACTGCTCTTTAGTTTTCAATGGCATGCTGATTAATGTCATACCATAACAGGTAATCAACTAAAAATTGAAAGAATCTTTACAAAACCTCTCAACAAAAATACATCGGATTTGTTTTATGCTTAAGCCTCTTACTCCAGTAATCAAGTAATTATCATCTAAGAAAAAGAATGAGCTCTTATCATTTTTTTCAGATGGCGCAGTAACCCAGTAGCTAAAAAAGCTAGACTATTAATCACTGAGTTGCAATTTCGTAACCCCATTTCGCCTAGTTTGATTTGGGCAACTGTATAGTAGCACTAGATCATGCATTGAAAGAGTGGCTCAAAGTCGAGTGAGCGAAGTTATACTTAGTCAAAAAGTTACATTACATTAGCTATCTCTATGGTCATATCATAGTTAGTAGACATTTTTTCTATGTATAAACTCACGTGGTTCATTTCACATCGACTCAACAAAAAGAATTTCATCATGTTTATGTTAGTTTAACGTTTGTTCTGTTTTTTAACTCATAAAATCCGCCCACTTTTCACGTTACTTAGTAAATTAATGGGGGAAAAATTTATTTTCAAAGAACAACTTTATATTACTTTTATATCTCCTAAGGTACAAATTTGAAGTAACCCATTATCCATCACTTTCACCCAGTAAATAGTATGAGAATAGGTGTGACAATTTTTATTTTAAGAAATGATTCCTTTTTTTCATTGGTCAAAAATCACTTTAACAAATAGTAATAATATCATAAATTATATAAAATACAAATAATTAAATAACAGTATAATCTCTACTCTGAACATTTCAGTAGAAAATTACGATTTATGTGAAGTTGAAAGTGAACTAAATCATTAACACTGAAGAACAACTATGAAGACTGTCACGAATCGAACATTCTTTGAAGTTCGACATCACGGACTGACTAGCTAAACAGTGGTTGAAACCTAAGAGCATTAAACAATAGTATAAGACTTAGAACAGTTCATCCACTAACCCATCACAATTACAACCATCAAGCCTCGAGGCGAGTAATGAACTTTTGAATCAATGAATCAGTATCTAATAGTTTTCATATTTAACTTCAGTCAGTTCACAGTGGCTTACAAAAACAGAACTATCTGAAACAGTTTTGTTTATAGTAAAATGATCTGTTAAACACAGTCAAATGCGGTGATATTATTTATTTTAAATTTATCATATTCATTAAAATCTTTATTAGAAATTAAATGAACTAAAGAGAAAAACATCCGGTTGAACTAAGCAAATAATCAAGAGACTAAACTTTAGTTATAAAGATTTTCTAATTTCTTTAGTTTCCCTTTGTTGTTGAGTAATAGTAATTTTTAGTCAATAATTACTGGTTAATATACGTACTAAATTTAATTATGTAAAGAACATCTTGTCAAAATATCTACAGTTCTAGTAACCATGAATGAAATTTTCACGTGATTCTTGATTACATGTAGATGAGTAAATCAATCAGTCAATCTAAACTTTGTTTCTTGGTTATTACAGATTTACTTACAAAATTAAATAAATTCATCAAATACATTTTGACCATTTTTCTGTCTTCTAAATCCACTTTATTTATATATTCATTAGCTTGTATTTAGTGCTTAATATGAGTGGAAGGGTTGTCCAAAAACATATTTTTCATGAAAGCATGTAATTTTTCAGGACAACTCATATCAGATAATCTATGTACGATTAAGTGACTTTAAAGACTGGAAAAGGAGGTATTTTCAGAAAACATTTGCCCATTTCTATATATATATTAATAAAATTTGACAGAGTAAGGACAAGAATTGTAACGAAATATGAATTATTCATTAATTTTAGGGATTCCCCTTCATTGTTAAGGTACAAATTAACTGAATATATATTAGTTTACAATTCTATCCAGTTGGCAAGAATGTAGCGAATAAAATGAGTGGCAATACAAACATGAAAAAAGTCTAGGTTAGTAGAAATTGTGGGAATTAAAATATGATTAATTATTTATAAGTAAAGTAAAATGAATATTCTATCAAAAGATATTTAGAACCAAGATCTTTGTAGAAATTACAAATTAATATTGATAATGACATAATATCAGTTAAGAACAATAAACAGTTATTCCTTTTTTATGTGGTGTTCTAATTTTGTTTTGTTGGCAATATATTACTGTGTTATTTAGCTTTCATAGTTTACCAACTTATTCTCAGTGTTTGCCAATTCTCATTAAATCTACAATTATTTCCAGTATTTACATATGACTCATATCGAAATAACCTAAATGCTAAGAAGCATCTGGAGAGAATTAATTAAATCAGATTTACAAAAGTAATATACTTTCAAATGTATTAAGGTTTTGATTGGAAAATTATTTACAGACTAAATATAACAAACTAGTATCGCTGACTATTTATATCTGCCAGAAACCTGCTGGTTTGCTTTGTTTTTTTCGTCTATACTATCAATTGTTTTTCTGGATTTACTTGTACTAATTACTAGTTACAGATTCTTTACTACTCAGTGTACTGGCACAAATGAAGAATTTTCATTATGAGAAAGCATTTGATAATAATCTGACAAATAACAACACACTTCTTTTAGAAGTTATGCTACTTATATAAACTGAGGTGAGACAATCTGAATTTCAGTTCAGATGAATCCTAATTGTATTTCAACGATTAGTTAGCATGCAGAACATGCATAGCCACTATTAGTTATTCCAACGATCTTGGACAAACTGTTGAATGGATACGCATGTACATGAATTTTCTTTATTTCAAAATCTACTTCGTTCATGTGTTAAGTAAATCTAAGTTGTTTACACTATGTTCTTGGATATTTGGTTACACAAATCCAAACCACGAACATGTGATTGGATTAATGTTTTTAAAACCCAGTAAAAAAGTCATGTACAATCTTTTTCAATCGTCTTAATTTTTTCTAAACAGATTAGCAACTGAATTATGTTGCACATCTGTCTCCTGACTTGGTATGTAGTTTGATCATGTGAACAATGTCTAAAAGAGGTATGAATCGAAGGTAGTCCTATCATTTTTTACGCCAACTCTGTAAACAACAGTTTTCATTACTAATATAGTGAACGAAAACTCAGGTAAGGTAAGCCAATTTATTAGTTTTCGCAAAATCATACAGTGCCTTCGTAAAATATGAAAATCATACACTGAATCCATCATTTGCGCATCTTCTTTAATTTATCTTTTATATACTCCATCATTCCTCTAATTATATTGTTATTTCGATTGCTCTCCGCTTTCCTTTCTGTTCTTTCCATTTCAATCTTCCACTGGTGCTTATTCCATTTCCTATCCCTGCTACATACTACTTACATGTTTCCACATAGAAGCCCGCAGCACAGTACGAAAATTAAATCACCTGATTACGAAAACGGGAAACATGATATAATGTAACAGTGATTAAATCTAATACATTAATTGTGTTGAAAAATATTTATATCAACATAAACCATTTCAGATATTCGATGATATTTACTCTACCAACTGTCTGACGTATAAAATCCATAAATTATATGTTAACATAGTTATAACAATAATATCGAAAAGTCTAAGAGATTTAACCTAAGTAAATTAGCATGAATATTTTAAAAGAAACAACAAGAATTTCGTACAGATTATAAAAAGCATCACTTAAACAAACTAAACAAAATAATACTGAAAAGTAGACGAAAATTGGTTTAATCCTAAAAATAACGATAGAACATGCTAAAGAGTTAAATAAACTGAAAGATTGATAGTAGCGGCAAATTATTAATTCTATATATTTACTCACTTGGTATTGTTGGTTTTGAATCTTCCCATTGATGTTTAGGACTGCAATTAATCAGTCTCTTATTGGCATATGTGCATACTGTACGCATTGCCTCGATATTGTCTTAATTCACAAGCATTATAAGCAAAAATGGATAATGGTTAGCATTGGAATCCAGGACGTATGTTTTCATCCAATTAATGACTCGTCAGCTGGATGTATCTGCATCTCAGAGTTGGTATTCACTCTGGGACTCGAACCCAGGACCGTTCGCTTCAAACGCCATCGCGTTATCCAGTAAGCTACGAAACGTGGTTCCTGGATTAAACTGCTAGCCATTATCCATCTTTACTTATAATGCTCGTGAACTACGGCTATATCGAGACAATACGCACAGTATGCACACATGCCAATAAGAGACTGATCAATTGCAGTCCTAAACATCACTGGGAAGATTAAAAAAAAACAATACAAAGCGAATTTAAACTTCATCACATTACACAAGCAAGTTGACTGTCAGGACTCAGTGGCTAAGTGGATAACGCGATAGCGTTTGAGGCGGATGGTAATGGGTTCGAGTCCCAGAGTGAACATCAACTCTGAAATCCAGGCACATACATCTGACGAGCCCTAAACTGGACGAAACGCACGTCATGGACTCCACTGCTAACCACTGTCCATCTTTGCTTTTAATATTCTTATGTTTAAAAATGTACATATATGTTAAGGGTGGTTTGATAGCCTAATTTTCCAAAACGAGTTCAAACAATATAATATTTAAATAGAAAACATTGAATTCATGTTCTGGAAAAAATGATGGCAATGTTATTTGTTTACTTTCAGCTAAATGCTTTCAATTACCTAAAATCAGACAAAGCCTAATAACCATTTTGAAACTAAACACAATACCGTCATACTATTGTGCCTACTAAGAAAAAATCTATCACTATGACTGTATGGTTTGGCAAAAATTTGATTTACCATAGACGGATTTTATCTGACACTATAAAAATATTTTAATGGCAAAACTACTGTTTTCGAAAAGAGCTTAGTCTTAAGGTGTATTATTTTGTAGTAGAAACAAGATACGTTTACATACTTCAAATTAGTTAATGAGTTACGATGATGAAATAGTAAATAGGTAACAGATCTATAATACCTGACAAAATAAGACCCATAAATTATTTAGAATACCAATACAGTTCTTAAGATAACGTGTCTCAAAATAAAGTTCGCAGAATGATGTTTCTATCCATCATGTTTTTCTGTGAGGAGCTCTCACCTGATACACTTAATGTGCTGAATTCAGCATTTCACCAATAAATTTGTTAGCCGTTTATTTATTATTGATTAGTTCTTTTGGTAATTTTATAGTTAAGATCATGAGTCAATTGAGGCTAGACCACCATTGAAACCTCAATTGACTCATGATCTTAACTATAAAATTACTAAACCTCCACAAAAACCCCCCTCTTTTGGTAATTATTTAACAATTCTGTATATGGGATATAATCGAAAGATTGTTTAATTTTAAGCCGTTTTTATTATTATTAATTAATTATTAATTTCAAATATATTTTTAAGCCGGTAATTCAATAGGATATTTCTATTTTTATACAACAAATGTAGCACTTCAGTTTTCCATAAATCTAATTTACTGTATTTTCCCGTCACTTTTATTACATCTCACAATACAAGCGATCCTATTCCATATTTTTCTACTCTCTACTGCTTTTCAAAACACTATAACTCTTTACTTAGAACTTTTTAAACTCTACAGTAAATGGGAACTGTTTGTTTGTACCTGAATCAGGTGACCGGATTATTTTTATTTTGAATGTAATTACTATGTATACTTCCAAAACATAAATATGTAGGCAAAAACAACTTGTTTGCCAACTGGAGTCCCGATATTTTATTCATTGTAGCAATAACCTTTACAAAACACACAAAATGCATTATATACATACTTTTCGAAAAAAACGTTACATTATCCTTTCAGCTTATCTAAAAATATCAAAAACAGTTCATATCTAAGAAACTATTAAGTTTTAGATGAAGTTTCTATCTAAAATATACATATCTTATGAAAACTGATATCTACCACAAAATTTAAACAATATTTTAACTAAACAAGATATATAGCTCAAGTTCCTTTTCTTCGCTCGATATTAAAATGAACACAGTTTCTCTTCACATGGTTAAAATCTTTCACTGAGTAGTGGTGAAAGCATATAATCACACTTAAAAACGAATAATGTCGTTACAATAACCACTATGTTTTTAGGAAACTAATAACTGTTCAATAAAATCTGAAGGGTGGTAAGTTTCTTAATGACATTTATTGGTTGCTAGCCGTCACTACCCAAGAACCTTTTTCACAATAATCAAAACCGCCTTATTTTATTAGTACGTCTGAATTAGAATAAAACACAAACATCTTTATCTCACTCAATGTCCTTCAACTTTGTTTAGGTCTTCCAGACAACTAAGAACGTTTTAATGCTCAAATAGGCAAAGAACAATAAACATATCAACATTCAAGTCACATTGTGCAATTTTCAATCAAATATCAAACTATTTAAATGCCCTCACTTTTTGATACCAAGTACTCTATATTAACAATCTTATTTTATCCCATCCAAAAATAAGTTAATTCATCAACTTTAATTCTCCCAGTGAAATTCAGATCATAGATGTCCACAATAAAATGTACTTAAAAGAAGAAAAATTTCTTCAGACTTATGTGAAACCTACTAGATATTTGACAGAAATGACAAATCAACACACTTATAACTGCATTTGTATACTTGAAAATATAGAGCATTTTCGTTCATTGAATTATTATTATTTAAAAACAAAGTGACATTTATCTGTCAACATCTATCACAGTTATCCATACTGTTCAAGCCTAGGAACATTTTCTTAACATCCAGATATATATACATATATCACTCTGTTTAAATAAAAAGACATATATTTGAGGATTCATTTATAAAAGACAACAGAAGAATCTATTTGTCTATTCGTTTAAAAAGAAAAAATACAAAACTTGAAAATATGCACAGCAAATAAAATATTAGTGTTTGATAAAAACAAAAGTTATTTCTAATTAATAAAACAATGTAGTAAGACGAACGGAAAAATTCTATTATGACATTCTAATTTTAAATATTTTTTTCCGTCATAAACTTATGATATAGCTACATGGATCTCATCGGACCACACCACAGAGAACCAGATAGATCATATTTTTATAAACAAAAATTCCGAAAGACAATGGAAGATTTGAGAACCAGGAGAGGAGCTGACACAGTTTCAGATCACCACCTAGTTGTGGCCAAGAGGAAGCTGAAGCTAAAGAAACACTGAACAACTGGACAAACAGCATTACAAAGGTTCAACACAGCCTTCCTTTTAAAAATACTAACAAACTCAACGAATTCAAGATAACTCTCAACAACAGATTCCAAGCTTTATAGGATCTACTAAAAGATGAAACTACGATAAAGGACAACTGGAAAAGGACCAAAGAAGCATTAACTTCAACGTGCAACAAGGTTTTGGGTCGCAAGAAGCATCATCCTAAGGAATGAGTCTCTATCGGAACCCTAGACAGCATTCAAGAAAGGAAGAAATATAGTAAACCAAAGAGACCCGTCAAGGACAAAGAAGGGAAGACGATCACGGAGATTCAAGAACAGAGAAAAAGATGGGTAGAATACTTCAAGGAACTGCTGAATAGACCAGTCCCATTGAATTCATCGGTCATCGATCAGCACACATAAACCTTCATATAGATGTCACTCCACCGATGATCGAAGGAATCAAGATAGCCATCAGACAAATCAACAGTTGGAGAGCGGCAGGAGCTGACAATATACCAGCCGAAGCACTAAAGTCAGACGTTCTATTCAGGTAGATATAAGAGGGAGGACAAGTACCACTGATAGACAGGAAAAGAAGGACACCTCATCTAGATACCGAAAATGGGAGATATAAGCGAGTTCGAAAACTACAGAGAAATCACACTACTATCAGTACAAGGATAAGCTTTCAACAAAGTGTTGCTGAACCAGAGGAAAGATTCAGTAGACGCTCAACTTCGAGATCAACATGCTAGATTCCATAAGGATCGATCGTGCACAGACCAAATTGCGACACTACGGATCATCGATGAACAATCAGTTGAGTGGATCTCGTCACTGTGCATCAACTTCATTAACTATGAAAAGGCGTTTGACAGTGTGGATAGGAGAACATCATGGAAACTTCTTCGACACTATGGAGTTCTTGAGAAGATCGTCAAAACAGCTGTCTACGCAAAATATTCAACATTTACTGGCCCGATACCATCAGCAACAGCGTTTTATGAGAGAGGACAAACCAGCTTCGAGCTGAAGAGGAAATTAGAAAAAGACGTTGGAAGCGGATCGGACATACATTGCGGTAATCACCAATGTGAATCACGAGGCAATCCCTAACTTGGAATCCGGAAGGGAAGCGGAAAGGAGGAAGGCCGAAGAACACATTACGCCGGGAAATAGAAGCAGATATGAAAGGATGAATGTTAACTGGAAAGGATTGCTCAGGACAGGGTTGGATGTAGAATGCTGGTTGGTGGTCTATGCTCCTCCACGAGGGATAACAGGCGTAAGTGAGAAAGTAACTAAAATGTTTCATTAAAGTTAGTTATTGCTTAATTTCAATTAAAATAACATAAAAATTGATTTAGCTTCAGAAAAAGGAAGAAAACTTCATTTCGAATGAATGTTGATTGAATCATTCTGAACTGTACAGACTTCATTTCTAGCTACCTTCTTAAAAAATAAAACGAAGAACATTTTCATTGAATCAAGCACATGTATTCTGCAAGGTTATCTTCAATTAAATAATGATAAACATTTTATCTGCAAGTCCCTCATGATCTAGAATTAGCAAATGTAGTCAAAATATTTATTTATGTAACATATGAATATATTAATCAAAATGGAAATGAATCCATTGGTTCTATACACTTTATTTTTTAATGCATTGAAATATATTAAAAATTTCTGG